AATGAGAAAAGTAATAGCCATCGATTCCCGACCAAGCTGAACGTTTTGATGTTTGAACAGAGTTTCTGCGATGTTTAATGCGGGAGGAGAAGAGGGCCAAAATACCAGCGGAATAATAAACTTTTCGTCCGTAGAATAACAGTTAGTTGGAATGCTGTTAAAATATTCAATTAATAATTGAATAATCTGTAGTATCATTGTCTGATATCAATAAACAACAAAGCTTTACCTAATTACACGTCCAAAAAGGGGTCGGAAGAAGTTAAATAACAAGATTGTGTTAGTAAAAAATATACTTGAAACAAATATCTCAAACAAACGAGGCTCTCTCTTTGAACTGTAATGATATTTATTTACGAGGCGTTGAACACAGACCCTCAAGCACAAAAAGCGTTCTCCCACATGAATAACAAAGCTGTGACAAACAGTTCATGTTACTTAGAAAGTCACTTAGAAAACCCCCCTGATCACCTTATGAAAGTGTGGGAAGTTCCAACATAAGCTAAGTCTCAGTTCACGTATTTCAACAACAAAGTGGTTCTTCAGCATTACTGCAGCTGTAGACACTGACATTTATTTACATTTTTAAGTTTACACACACTTAGTTTTGAAATATTAGTATTTAATAGGGATGCTCCGATCGATCGGCCGCCGATCGATATCGGCCGATATTCACTCTCTGCCGATCGATTGGTGCTCTCTATAAATGCCGATCGGGATCACACAACGTAAAATACATGACACTTTTCTCTGTGCGCGGCAAAACAAGCTCGCCAAAATGGCTTCACCGGTCTGGCAGTTGTTGAAGGTGTCAGAAAAAGACAATAAAATGGTGGTATGTAACGTGTGTGAAGCAGAAATCCTGCAGGTCCGCCCGCTGTGACGGACCGGTGAGAGAAGCAAAACACACAAGAGTTAGACCTAACACACTTAGCTATTTTATTTATTTATTCTTCACTGTCGGGTCACTCATTACTGGATCAGTGAGCTGCATGAGACGATACTGACAGGCTGTCAGGAGAGGGAGAGAGAGAGAGAAGAGGGAGAGAGAGCGCTTCCGCTCATTTCTCTCGTGTTAATCTCCAAAGTTAATGTAAACTTGAATAATGTACTTCATTTGAATGTAATAATTATGTTGGTTGTTGTTTGTGGAAGTGCCAGTGAATGAGCCCCATTAACTGAGTTTTAAACATCACTTTAAATGGAAGATCCCCATAGGCCCCGCCCACTCGATCGGATCGGCCGATACTGATTCCGGCGATCGGCCCCAAAATTGGCGATCGGAGCATCCCTAGTATTTAATAAAGTAATTGTGGTTTTACTTAAGAATATTCATCCTATGATGTTTAATATTTAGCTTAAGTTTTGACATTTAGCGAAATATTCCTATTTGCTTTCTTGTCAATAAATAATAGGAAAGATTAAAACCAACAATATCATCTTATTTTAGGCGAAAAATATATGCTTGTTCAGATTATGGTTTATGGTGCACAGTGTCTTCATAAAACTGTAGATTTGTGCATTTATGTCTGCATGGAGGGGTTTAGGGCAATTAGCATTAAAGTCATAGTTTGAAGTGGGGATCATTGACTGACAGGAAGAATCCTTGTCCTGAAGCTCTTTCCAAATGACAGGCAGCTGTGAGTCCTTGTGGGTTGTGTGTTTATTACATTCAGTCTCATGAGAACCAAGACGACTCACCCTTCTCATCCTCGTAGGAGCCTCCGGAGCTGTTGCTGTAGCGAGACTCCAATCTGTTGTGAGCCCTGGCCATTCTGAGACAATTACAACACATTCAAAGTTAAAAATGTTGTCGTTTGACCGGTGTTCGTGCTTATTATGTGACTGAATCTTATAGTACTATAACGGATTAAGTCATATTATGTTGAAATATTGTATCTTCTTGCACAAGTGTCCAAAAATGTATTAATACTGACCGCTCTTCACTCTCTCTGACCAGCTTGACCTCTTCTGTGTCAGTCAGGTTCTCCTGGCCCGCCACCACAGTGTTACTGCTAGACGTGGTGCCTACACATAAGACATTTTTCAGAGACAACCTTTAGATTTACAGTACATTAAATCATCTGTAAATGAAAAGCAGTCAAGTTTAAAGTCAATGTTGAGATAAAAATGTCAAATATGACAGGGATTCTCACCTGTCTGTGATGTGGAGGCCTTGTTGCTGGCAGCAAAGCGATAGAAGGGAGGGTTGTCGCAGTGCAAGACGACAGGGTTCACGGGGTCCGTCTGCTGCAGCTCAAACAGCAGCTCCTCCATCGTCTGGATGGTGTTGTTGCGACACAGGTAGATCACCACCTTCTTTATCTAAAACAAATACAAATATACTGTGTTAATTGGATTACCCCACTATCAGCATATGGTGATGGTTAACATGTTGACACAACCCAGTACCTATAATTGAAACGATTGTACAGATAAATCACTTTGAAAACAGGCTTAGCCTTCAACTCTAGAGTGAGAGTTATTTGATTTATTAGACAAATCTCTTTTTAAATAAACACCGGCACAGGCAGAGTGCTTACATAAGAGGATGAATGATGCTTCTGTACTTACATAAGGCAACAGCGTGGTATCACTGCTGACTCCACACAGGCTGACCAGGAACTGCAGGGCGATCCGCAGGTTGTTGCTCCACCTCTCGTTGGACACCAGAACGTTCCAGGCACTCTCGATCTCTGGGCCAGGGACCTCGTCTCCATACTGATAATGCGAGGGAAGAAAAAAAATAGTTGAAAACAGGAGATTTCAATGGAAAAGGGGGAGGAATTTCAATAAAAAGAAACCCTACCTTAGCAGTCATGAACATGAGGTTATTGAGCACTAGCGAGGTGGCCTGCAGGGAGCCCCATCCGCTGCCCCTCAGACTGGGGGCCAGACCCATGCCCTGCCCCGGACCGTGGGGTTCCTCCTCTGGTGTGCAGGGGCTTGAGGACGGGGGTAGGAGCCCCGTGTCCACTAGCTCTAGGTTACTGAGCCAGGGCAGCAGGTAGGAGAGCATGATCTGCCTGCCGTTGGAGTGGGTTGTTGAGAATCGCTGGCTCACCTCTGCAGGGGCCAGAAAATAGGGATTTATTTTCTAAGTGCCATGAGAAAGAAGAGTGTTCTTTAAATGTGTTCAGTACTACATTTTAACAACTGTATCAGGAAGAACACTGGGATCTTTAATATATGTGCTCAAAGAGATTGTGTTGTTTTGGAGATTATTCTGCCTGCTTTAGTATTTAATACACTACTAGATCAGAGTGTGATGATGATAAAACTGCTTTTCAGGAGCACCTCTTTTTCCCTTATTTGGATTGATGTGAAGTGTTTGCTGTTGAAATGTGATCGTTTAAAAGGGACATAACAGTAGTAGAGTGTAGTGGAGTTTTTATTTGATTTACACCTTCAGTTAAGATGTACTGTTCTACACCAAGTAAACATTTTAATTTTTTTTATTTCATCGTTTATTTGGCGGGGACAATGCAGAGCAAACAGTGCCAGATTTAGCTTTAAGCTAATTTCCATCCGCAGTCCCTCACATAAAACATTTAAGAACATGACATTTATAAACATAGCACAAAACAAATACATGATATGCAAAAAGAGCAAGAGCAGTATACACAAGTATTTACCACATGGCAGTACAATACAGCAGCAACGACATATAAAGTGCAAGAGAAGATACAAGAGCTACATAAAGTGCGAGAGGAGATTCCCCATGATAGGATTCTAGTCATGACCCAGTGTTTTGTGTACACATTCACCCTGAAAAAGTTACCTGAGAAAAGCGGCAGTGTGAGCTCTGGGTACATGCTGGCCAGCTGGATGGAGAGTTGAGACAGGTTGACGCTGTACAGAGGAGGCAGGGGGCCGTGCGTTCCATACAGAATATTACCCGGCTTCTGCTCCACCATCCGCTTAGAGTACGCACACAGCTTAGACTCCAGCACCTGAAGACATATGAATTATCTTTAAAATTCAATACGCATCATCAGCTTTTGGCTTCATGTTTTCGCTCTTGTATTCACCTCTTTGCATGCAATTCATAAATATTTAACAAGGGAATTGTGATAACGTGCCCTTTATGTAAAATGTGTATGTTACCTGCATCAGCTGCATGGAGATCTCATATATTTCCCTGCTGGTGTCTGAAGCTTTGAACAACACCAGATTGAGAAGGGTCACAAGGTCACATGGGTAATTCCTGGCAAAGTAAGGAAGAATAGTCATTTGTTAGGGCAGTGTAGGAAAACGACATTTCAATTGTGGTTATAAGAGTTCAATGCCCATAATGCCATGTTGCACATATTTGAGCTATTTTTAACAAATGTAACACTCAGCATTAGTTCCCCACCTGTTCCCGCAGACGGTGGCGATGGCCTTGAAGCAGCCAGACGCCAGCTGGTAAGATCCTGTGAAGCAGCGGTCCACGGCCCAGTTGAACAGGTTGATTTGGTCTGGGTTCAGTTCTAAGAGCAGGATGACCACCTCACAGCCCAGCCGGTGCACCTAGGACAAACAGATGTTATTATGTATAGGATATCACAAGTTGGGGTAAACCAGAGGGCTGAAACTTCTGTATCAACATGTTAGAATTATTCAAACTTCTTAAGGTGTAGTGAAAAAACTGCAACACATAGTTCCTTTGCAACAAATAACACGCAACTGATCCCAGGGTGGACCTACCCGTATGTCATGACAAGCCAAGATGTTGTCGAGCCATTTGTAAAGATAGCCGTCAGTGGAAAGACCCACATTGTCAAACACTGGACCGCAACACAGAACTGCTGACATGGCCTAAAAGACAAAGGTTTAGATGAGTTAACAATGAGGCTTCTGTAAACAAAAATGCAAAACACAGAATAACCCCTTCTGTTTTCTGAGTGTTGGTATGGCTTACTTTGAGAGCACAGTACTGGTAGCGAGTGATCTGATGGTTGCGGTCACTGTAACGGTCGAGGGGAGTAAACATGACACTGAAGGGTCCAGCCCATTGGCTGAAGAGGATGAAGAGATGATGTCTCAGAGACTGCTGAGGGAAGAGAAAGCGCCTGTGGTGGACTGTGGAGGGCGAGAGAAAGAGACGCGGAGGGTTAATATGGGAGACAGAGAATGTGCACGTAAGTCTGACTGGCATGAGAACACTGCAAAAGCTACGGCTAACATCTATTTCGAATGAAAGACCAATGTATTAGGACAGGGGTTCCCAAAGTGGGGGTCGCGACCCCCCGAGATGATTACAAAATAAAAATGGAAAATTAAAAAATAAATAAATAAATAAAATAAAATTGATTAATTTTTTTTAAAATTATTATTAATAATAACGTTTGCATAGAAATGTTCAGGGGCGGACTAGCCAGCTGTATAATTTCCCCGCAACGAGGCTCTGTTTCTCAAACTTTACAAACAAATTAATTCACTTTGGGGGTCGCGGGCTGAAAAGTTTGGGAACCCCCGTATTAGGATATATGTCATAAAGACGTAAATAAAAGGATTTACCAGGAACACACTGGATGAGATTAGCCACCATCCCGCTGAAATGGGCCCTGATGTCTTTAAGCACATCCAGCTCCTTCTCATTCTCAGCCTCCAGGAGCATGCGGGTCAGATCCACATACTCTAGGAACAGGGCACCCAGGGCCAGGGAGTCACGCTCCAGTGCTCCATTGGTGCTGTGAGGAGGAGGAGGAGGAGGAGGAGGAGGAGGACATATTATTTTACATGTGCATCAGTAGGCTTGAAATTACAGAAGAAAGAAAGTAAGCGTATGATTGTTCAAAAACATTTGAATGTGTACACCAAAGTGCACAAGGAAACACCAAAACAAAGCTCAAATGCACTCAGTAGATTTAATGTGTGTGCTACCTGTCACTGATAACTCCTGCGTTAGCCAGCAGCTCAAAGATCCTCAGCAGCTGCAGCCGGAGAAGATCCCTCCTCTCTCTGCGCTTCTTGTTCTGAAAGCACAGGCAGGTTTTCCATTAACTACTAAAAGTGTCTTAATATACTGCATGTTGTTTTGTTTATACTGGGATGATTGGTTTTGAAAGGAAGAATGACATAACTTTACTGTAGCAGTCCATTTTCATAAATACATAATTATTGACCAATGGAAACTTCTCTAATGGCTGAGAGCGTACATTAACACATGACAGATATACTTCTACGAACTCTGGATTCACATTATATTTTTTCATTATGATCTATCTGGGATCAATAAAGTTAATCCGATCCTGATTCAGTGCAGTGTGTGTGTGTGTGTGTGTGTGTGTGTGTGTGTGTGTGTGTGTGTGTGTGTTACCTCAGGCCTACGTTCCAGTGCTTCCTTCATCAGTGGATGGAGTTCTTCGACTAGCTCCCTATAGACAGGAGGAAAAAAGGGGAAAATCAATTGATTGCTTCGTGCTAAGTGAGACGGATCAGATCCTCCCTCCCTGTACGTGGAGGACGCTCTGATTACGGGTTTGTTCCAGATAACCATCTTGTGCAACCCAAAATGTCCCATGTCCTAAAACCACTAATCCTCAAACACACTCATGTAAGACACATTTTTCTGGGGAGGCCTTAATCTCTTTAATATCAATGAGCGCCCTGATGGCAAACATTTCAGGTTAAAAATAGATGATCTCTTCAAAATGAAATACCTGCCTTTCACAATGGAACCTCTGTCGTTTGAAAACATGTGATACATTTCCCTCCAACAGATTACTCTTCTACATCAGTGAAGCTGTTTTTTTGTTCTCATCTGAATGTCAAAGAGGCATGCAGCTCATCTCAGTTATGAAGAGAATGTAAGAACAGATGGGATTCAGTAACAGAAGAAGGCAGTGTGAAAAGGCTTTCTTATGTAAGAGATAAGAACCAAATCTAGCACATCATCCATTTTCTATTCTGCCTCTGTCGGATGGGGTTTCCTCGGTTTAGGCTTTGTGTGTTTATTCTCTGCAGAAGCTTACACCACAGAACAACAGGCCCCGGAACATAACAATAACAAACCAATGTTTTCACATTTTTGAACCGTCATCCGAGCATTGAGCAGGGAATTTATTTTGTTATTCACACATTATTGGATATCTTAATTGATAAAACAGCATCTAGCACTTGATTCTGTGTATACTGGATGTACATTTCTGTATGTTCCTGTTCCAGTACCTAAAGACAAGAGCGTTTGTGCATCCGAACCCCAGCACCAGCGACTCGGTGATCTCCAAACTCTCAGCTCTCATCAGTGGGACGAGCTGTTTTAAAAGCCAGGCTACCGAAGGAGTGCCTATAACCTGAGGGATGAACAGAACAACACAAACATTGGTCAGGCAACATTACCAATTCACTGCAAACATTATACATTTAACTTTAAATCCCCGTCATTATGAGCCCAGTGTTTTCAACCATTTTAGTATTTTCTGGTACTTAAAGTGGACCTATCATGCTATATTTGAATAATATAGTGTAGGACCATACCTATATAAGGCATATTTATACTTTTTATTTTTCAAAATACCAAACAGATCATGCATTTTTAGCCATTCCTCATTTCGCTCAATTTAACACTGTCTTTGCATGGGCTGATTCAGTGAGAACAGCACCATCTACAGGCCTGGCATATGTACTACAGCGTCTCCAGCGCTTTCGAACGGCAATGTCCGTGGCTGTCTCCTCCTGATTGGTGGAGTTGGCCTAATAGCCGTAGCGCCACTTCTGTGACGTCACAGAAGTGTTCAAATCTGGATCAGTCTGTATCAGATCCGTTGCAGCCCCTTTTTAAGAGATTTGGGTATGGAGGAAAATAGAGAGGGTTGTGTTTTCTGACACTTGGTGAGTTCCCTGGAACACCGGGGACACATATTCATGTAGAAAAGACGTACAAAAGTGCATTTTGCATGATAGGTCACCTTTAAGTATTCATGACAGCGCTAATGTGTAAACAAAAATGAATAATCTTAATGCAACACTAAGCTGTCTGTGGCTCTTTCCTGCTGTAACGCTGCAAATTTCCCCTCTGTGGGACTAATAAAGGTATTCTGATTCTGATTCTGATTAAAACCACATTCATCAGGGTATCAGTTCAGAAAAACAGTATATTCAATTGTGTCCCTTAGAGCTAATTCAACGATAAGTTTAATTTGAATTAGGTTTAATAAACTTTAATTTCAGGTACTTTGATCATTCATCTTTTTAAGCAAAAACGCCAATCATTTTCTAGTTACAATACCTCCAATGTAAAGATTTTGTGTTAACACTTATGTTTTAATTTATTCTAAATTACATTTTTAGGGTTTATGATTTGGTGATTTTGGTGATCCTGAAAATTTCAGAGCCTAAAACGTAATAAATCTATGGAAAAATTATTAGTGGAATAATCAATAATGAAAAGTAATATTGACCAATATCTTTTAAAGATCTTCATGGCAGCAAGTAAAAAGGCCATAACAAGGCGATGGCTCTGTCAGGAACCTCCCACCATCGCTCAATGGGTAGCCATAATTAAAAACATTCACAGTATGGAACACATGACTTTCAGCCTAAGACTAGAAAGAGACAAAGGTGAAGCCCTCTGGGGAAAATGGGACACATACCTAACACAAAGAGGTGATAACCTGTCTTGCACTTGGTGTTTTTTTGTTTAAGTAAACAATGATTGTTACAATTGTACTTCGTGATGGCCTCCTCGTGACCCCTTAGTTATAGCCGTGTTTCTTATTTATTTATTTTGTATTCTTTCAGTTTTGTTTTGAACTGTCTTTGTTGTATGTATTTTGTTATCTGTTCCCTCTAGCTTAACTAGAGGGTTGGGATATGTATGTTACTTTGAGGAATTGTATGCAAAATCTACCATTGTTCCGAAGTATACTTTTATCTGATGTACTTGCTACAATACTGTCTGTGTTTTTTTCCCCTGTAAAACCTGAACATAAAAATTAAGTTAAAAAAAAAGAAAAAAGAAAAGTAATGTACAGTGTATTAAAAGGACATTGTGTGGCACAAACAGGCACCTTGTTGTCATAGGTGACGCTGCCGTCGGGCGTGGTGGCTGTGATCTCTGGTGTGGAGGCTCTGAGGTGACCGGGGGACATGATGCTCGGCTTAGCCACGCCGAGACACATGATCAGGTAGTTCCGCCACAGAGAGATGTAGTTGTCACTGGATCCTGCCGTGCTCGTCTTCTTCGCATTCACTGGACTGCTGCAGGAAGACAAAAGAAGAAAAGGCAGGTGATCAGATACTTTAACCGTTCAAAGACATACACCAATTGTTTTGTCAGACACAATATCATTCTATAATGAAATGTAAGAATGTAGAATATAATTAATTTGTGTCCTCGTACTTGGGGTCGACCAGAGGCTGCAGCAGCTGTAGCCGTGTGAAGGCGTAGGGCCAGGCGTACCCCAGGGCGGTGGGGCAGTGTTTGGGAAGGTGCTCCTGCCGCAAGAAGATGTGCAGACAGAGCACCCAGGGGTCCTTGAGACACTGAGCAAAGATCCAGACGTGACTCGGACTCTTCACGTCGTAGGAGCTGCTCACCAGCCGAGCCGTCCACTCCACCAGCCACTGCAGGTCAACATGGTGGTTGAGAGGCAAGGTGGACTAATGGAGAGGAGGGGAAGAATTTAAGAATTATACACAGCAGCGGGGGTAAGGGGTTTTGAAGGATTATGATTTGAATAATTAATCAGATTGTACTGATACACACTTCATATAAACACACTTACGGAGTCAGACACAGCATGAACAAAGCTGTCCATTACAGCCGGGCTCAGCTGGTCCATGACCTCTATCATGGGTTTGTCATCGTCCTGGAGAGAGAGACATTTATAGAATCAGCTATTTTTATAACAGCGTCATACAATGTGAGACAATTCACAGCCTGCATGCGCTGCATATTTAATCGCAGCTAGAGTCAGGTGGATCTCTATCAGGGTATATGCAGGAATCCTGAAGTCAGATGTAAGACCTTTTCAGACCTTTTTTAAGACCCTTTCCATACATTTGAAGACCTCATCGCCACTTCTAGTTCTAACCGGTTACATTGGCGACACACTTTACCTCACATTGACTATATACAGTATTGATTGTCCTTCCTCCTTATCTTCCAACCATTTGGACGCAAACTTGCATTTCCCCATAACGATGTTGTTTAACAACCGGCGTAAACGGACCTTCGGACCTTCGCGCGCTATCAAGCAGTGAGCGTGCGATGTCCTGTTCAGATGACGTCAAACCCAACGGGATGCCATAAATAAACTACACAGAATCACACTACACACCTACGCAATGATTACATTCAGGCAGACTGTAGAATACAACCTCTTTGGACCATTTATATACTTATAGAAAACAAGCTACAACATTTAATACCTTGCAAAATGCAGTTTAATTTCTTTAATTACTTTAATTTTCGCTAAATTGATTTATCAACTTTTAATACTTTTCAAGACCCCGCGGACACCCTGTCTATCTACTATCCATTCTGATATTTTCATG